AGTGTTTCAATCGCTCCCGTCAGACCATGTCCTCAGAAAATGTCTAAAATCTGCCCTGTGCCCCATTGACCTTTGACCTGTGACTTCCAATTTCGGCACAGTGATGGCTTTTCCTACCATGATGCTTACACGCGACTATCACGAGCCTAGATCGAGCCGTTTAGATTTGTGCCGCAATTCTCCATTTCCTCCCTATACCTTAAGTTAAGGAGGGAATGTTCCCCCTTCTTTTACACTTCTTGACCTTTGACCTTTGACCCCAACTTCGACATCCCAACTCGTTTTTGGATTACCCCACCACGTCCCGAATATCGTGACCGTACGTCGAGCGGTTAAGATTTGTGCCCAACTGTTGACGAAGGATGGCCGGACGGACGGACGATCATGAGATTCTACAAGCTGCATCGGACTACATCAGATGAGCTAATAATGTAACCCCAGTTACCCAACAAGATTACATTGTCATTATTCATTAATTTATTGTATTAACCTAGAGCCTAGTAGAGCCTAGCTCTAGGACTATAGCCCGCGTACAGTTGCCGCAGGGCTATAGAACATTTTATGCCAGTTTTCCTAACTGCACCTGCTCCAATGGCGTAGCCAGGATTAAATCTAAGGGGAGGCGACAACAGGTTCGAGGGAGCGGAGCGACCTAGGGGGGGGGGGAGCTTTTTGCATTTTGATGTTGTTAATGGTGCAATTTGGTGCATGTTGTTGGCATGTTTTATCGACTTGAAACAGTCCTGCTGGTTTAAATAAGGTAGCAGTGTTTTGATGTAGATATTTTAACTAAACAAGGATATCATTTTTTTCGCCTTCTAAATCGGTGACCCCTCCCCTCCCCGGCTACGCTACTGACCTGCTCCCCAATGCTTTCCAAGAAAAATGCAAAATGATCGGGCTTTTTAACACTTATTTATCTACATGGACATCTCACCTATATTTTTAAACACTTTCCACAATCTAATACCATGTATTTATGCATTTATTCATCAAAGTGCTAGCACTACTTGCATTTCGTTTTTCAAATGCTGGGTGTACACGCGTCGTGATTGTATGTCACCCGAAATATAATACGCTGCATCATAGCTGCCCATGAGTTTTGTCTACATTTCGGGTGACGTCACGCATGTACACACCAGCATTTGAAAACGAAACGCAAGTAGTGCCAGCACTTTGAGGAATAAATGCAAAAATACATGGTGTAACATTGTGGAAAGTGTTCAAAAAGATAGGTGAGATGTCCATGTCGATAAGTAAGTGTTAAAAAGCCCGCTCATTTTGCATTTTGTAGGCCATTTTTGTGGACGCATTGGGAGCAGGTGCAGTTAGGAAAACTGGCATAAAATGTTCTATGCCACGTAGTGTTAAGCGAGATGGGAACTTGTGGCTAGAGGTAAGCCTAGCCTAGACCGAATAATTCTGTCCCATATAACCTTTTTTTTATATTTGGTGAGGGTTTATATGGACAGAAGCGGGTTCATTGAAATTTCGTGAGATCGCATGCAAAATGCATGCGCTGAGAATGCGGCCCGTACGCCGTTATTGGCCGCGGAAAAAACCCTACGTTCCTTCTACATGACTTTACCTTGCTACAGATATGTGTATACATTCACTTCTGAAAAGATTGTTTTCAGAAACCCGCTTCATTCCACTTTCGTAAATAACATTCGCCATTTACAAACAATCAGACCAATCAGAGTGATTCTATCAGCCCTCCTGCCAGCGCCACAGATACAAGGCGAGCAAGGGCCCTTGCAAGCGAGAACCAGGCTATTGTAACACTCGCTCTGATTAGTCTGATTGTTTGTAAATGACGAATGTTATTTACGAAAGTGGAATGAAGCGGGTTTCTGAAAAACAATCTTTTAAGAAGTGAATGTATACACATATCTGTAGCAAGGTAAAGTCATGTAGAAGGGAACGGTAGGTTGTTTTTCGCGCCAATAGCGGCGTACGGGCCGCATTCTCAGCGCATGCATTTTGCATGCGATCTCACGAAATTTCAATGAACACCCCAATATATGTGGGA